GTGTGAAGTGGGATCTTGTTCTTCGTAAGTCAGAGATCTGCGTGAAGACGACCGGTCCGGTCTATCAGATAGATGCTGCACTCAACATTACGTCACGTCTCTGAGTTTAACAGCCTTGTATAAATGGCTGTGGACACTGGTCGTTTTTAATGACTCTACTCCATTACAAAGTTTCAAAGCATTTAAATCAAAATGCAGAAGCCCTCCAAGACAGATTTCAGTAGTAGAAGCCTGCCTTTCTGGATAATAGGTGGTTTTCAGCAGTAAGGAGGGGGTAGAGGACATCGTGACAGTCGCATGTGTGTGTTCCCGTCAAGGCAAAAAAAAAAAAAAAAGCAGGAAAACAAGGTTAGTGCTGTGGGAGGTGGGAGAGTCAGCAAGCTGAGCCCGGTGGATGTGATCGGGAAACTCCTATCTTGTCAACATGATTCACAGGGTGTTTGTTACCTAAGGAAAAATTAGTAGAAAATGATCATGAATACACTGAAAATGGCAAGATACTTCATAGTGCCTAGGTGTTATGTCTTCACATCTTCTTGAAAGTACCAATAGTGAGTGTGAACTTTCCTTGATGGAGTTTCTTGATCGACATACATTGCTGTGGTGTGGGATTTTTAACATGGCCTGTTTTTGTTGGAAGAACCTGTGACCTGCCTGGGGCCAGGCGGCTCATGCCCCTCACTCTGACACCGTCGCCACGCGGTCACGCACAATCGCCAGAGGAGTTGGCACAGTGTCTCCGGAGAACAGATTCCTCTTTCTCCTCCCAGCTTGAAAAAAATACAACCCTTTGGCATTCTTTCCTGCAGGAAGTAATGAGGAAACCATTCAGCTGGAGCCCAGGTTGGCAGGTACAGCCATGGCTTTGGCTCAGGTCAGAAAGTAGTCCCTTTGGAAGGCAGGAAGCCTTTTCCTGAGAGATAGAACAAAAGGAACAGAAATGAACTGGAGAGTTCAAATGACCAGGAGGCTTGGTGGCCTGAGATGGGGGGGCTTCAGTCACGAGAGGGGAGACCTGAGAACCACCATGCAAGGGGACAGTATGTGACAGAGAGGGATGCAGGTACGGCTGGCCTCCAAGAGACTAGAGAGTGACCCCTGAATACGCCCTTTGCACTTTCACCTTTTCTATTTCTCCACAACAGGCTCCTATCATTTCACCAATAGCTGAGAGTGGGGAGACTTCCTGGGCTAGTCAACCTAGGGAAAGGCGGGGCCTCCAAACTGAGCCTCCTTGAAAATGCAACCAGGAGGAAGAAGGGTTGTCCTCTGTGCCAGAAATAACCCTTCCCAAGCAGACACCATGGATTCTCTCTAAAGGGAGAACTCCTAGTAGCAGGGACACCAAACGGCGCGACTCTGGGGCTGCCGTTCAGACAGAGACTATTTTGGCTGCTCAAGTAGCGCTGTGTGTTGTGTGTGTGGCTGTACATGACTGTTCTGCAGAATCATACAGCTGTTAAAAAATTCACCGTGTACCAAGAATGTCATATTCTAGCCAATCTCTTACTTTGTTTTTATTGGTAAGAGGCTCTGCATACTACCATTAAAGCCCTCTTCAATTTGGTTGTTCTCAAACGTTTTTTCCTTTCCTTTTCGGCCACTCAATAATTTTTTGTAAGTATTAATAATCTAGGCTTATTTTACTATAGTTTTGCTAGAAGTCAGTGGTTCCAAAAAGGAGGGGCCAGGCATAGCAGAATTACTTGGGGAGTGCTGTCAAAATATACCCACCCAATAGATGGATGGGATGATGAATAAGCAAATTGTGACGTGTACACACACGATGTGATGCCAGGTACATGAAGTCTGAGGACCTGCAAAAGCTCTCTTGGGTGGTAGAACTTAGTGAGAAGTCACACCAGAGAACTTTCTGTGATGGTGGACATTATTTATACCTTGATCTGGGAGGCAGACGTATCCATGTGAAAAAGGCATCAAGTTGCACACTTAAGATTTGTATTTTTAACCAAACATGAATTATATCTCAGTATTGTCTCAAATACACACACATACACATATACCCATCCAAGTCTCTACCTGAGACCCAGGGAATAAGGTGAACAAGCTGTGGGGGCAGGGGGTATAGAGATGATGTGTATTTGGAAGAAGCTCTGACTTCCTTTCCCTCTCTTACTGTGATCTGCCAAATATCCTTTTAGGAATTAGAACTAGATTGAGGATAAAAACAAAATAATAATAATTCTATACGAAATTTCATAGACTTGCATATATAATACACATGTTATATACATAAATCTATAAACTTGACCCCTAGAGATCATCTGTTTTCCTAACACAGCCTACTTACTTTCCACTTTGCTTTGATTGTTTTGTGTCCCTCTCACTCATTCCAATGTGTCAAAGGTATAAAATTAATCAGCTGATGTGAGGCCTATATTAAGGTGGGAGGAATCATGGAGGCTTATAAGGATTGAAATCTTTCGGGGGATGTTTTTACCAAGTTCTTAAAATTACAACACTTTAAAGTAAATGGGTAGTAATGTGTTTGGGACCTGTCCCATCACCCAAGCTCCTGTTCGCTCCCGGGCGCACTGAGGGGACTCCAACGTGATGCAGACTCAGGCAACGGTGTTTTTCCCTTTGTGAACAGAGCCTGTGGGCAGCTTTTCAATGTTCCCCCAGAGTAGGAAAGGTGAGCACGAAAGGGTTTTCTCATTTCAAGCTGGACTTCCTGTTTCAGTAATGTCCTTACTCGCACTTTTCCGATCTTTCCAAAGGATCAGAAATATGGCTGGTCAGATGTACTGTATGGGCTTTTAAAAAAAATGATGTTTCAGAAAAAAGTTTTGGAAGTAAAATTGTTTACATTAAAAGTGAGTCTGTAGGGTTAGGGCTACCTCTTCCGGGCTGGTTGGTTTGTTTTCCACGGAACGTTCAGCAGCATTGCCAACATCCCCTTGGATTCTGGAGGCAGTGTGAAAACTGCCCTCCCCGAAGACGCCCTGGCTTTACCACTCGGCTTCCGCCCCAGACATACCAACCGCCTGGTTTGCATTCTTCCATGTTCAGGCCTGGGCAAGACCTCGGAGGTGAACTAGTAGTTCAACCCCACTGGGACCTCCATGTCACACTCCAGTGGAAAAATAAACTCAGGCCTAAGCCGAAGTGGCTTGCTCAGGGTCACAGAGCTGGTCAGAGGCAGAACCACAGTCCTGCTTCCAGGCGAGTCCCTTGCTCATTCTACTACACCTCGCTTGTCTTAGCGGCTGTGCTGAGGGTTTGCTATCCCGGTGACTTTACAACGACAACACGCAAATGCCGCTCCTGTCCTCCAAGACCCATAGAGGCTCCCTCCTATTTCAGGGAAAGAGCAGGGGCTGGGGTTTTACCTGCAGAGACTGCAGGGATTTCTGTATCTTTCATCTTAATCATGTTTCCTCCACAAGTTGAAGAGAGAAGTAGCTTTTTTGTTTTGTTTTGTGCAGGGAGGGGGCCAGCCCAGCCCTCCTTATCAGATTTTACTGCTTTGTGACCCTTGGTGAAATCTGCAATTTCTTCGTGCCTCACTTTCCTTACCCAGGAAATGGGGATAACACCAGAGCACAAAGTGCTTTCCATACTTCCTGGGCCACAGACAGGCGCTCCCTAGTTTTCTTGAAAATCCAGCAAGTCCACATTGCAGCGATCCAGCTATTTTCTTGGAAGTTTGAGAAACTGATCTTCCTTCCCTTCAACCTCACCCTTCTTTCTCTTTGGAGTCTCCTCTACTTGGGATCCTTTTGGGGATTCTCAAGTGCTCAGTGAAGTCAGTCAACACAAATTTGCACCTCATGGGTACAATAGCTGCTGCTCTTTGGTTGCCTGTTCCCTTCTCCAAGAGGCCCAGAATTTTGCTATGAGCTGTGGGACTGTGAAGTAATTGGGAACAGTATCCTCTGGGAGGATGACTTCAAATACCCTTTTCTACCTAAGAAAGGCTGAAAAGACTGGGCTTGAGTCCTGGTGGAGCAGCAGGTTCCTAAGGCATGTTCTTAGTTCTGCAACGGAGGGCAGAAATGCAGGCAAACTCTTTCTACAGCTGCTCAAGCCAAGGCTTTCATGCCGGAATACCCCTCAGTCATGCAATGGGACTACAGCAGGCCTGACACCCTGGGTCCCCCTCCTGGCTCCGCGCTTTTTCCATCAAACCGGCCGCGGCTCACTAACTCCACCTCCGAAAGTGCTAAGGAAGTTCCCTCCCAGTGCCTGCCCAGGCGGGGTGGGGCCAGTTTGTGGCTTGGAAAAAACCGGGAAAACGACCTATTCCGACTCCCAGCACGCTGTCAGGAGAGGGGATGTGTGTGGGGTGGAGTGTGGTGGGTGAATTAAGACACCAGGACCGGCACCCTGAGGTTCCGGGTGTTCTGGAAACAGAGCTCTGAGACTGGCTATCGGAGAAGCTACCTTATTATCTCGTGGTCTATTTCCCCTGTGCAGTGTCTGCCTGGGGGCGTCCTGCTTGGAGAGTTCCCCAGTGTAGGACGGACTGCACTTTTCCGGGCCAGAGTGGGCAAACTGCTGCCACTGCCCAGCCTCTGCTGTTTCCGGAGGTCTCGGTGGGATTTGTCCGTCTTCCCACTTTCCGCCCCCGCCTGGAGCGGCGTGAGTTTGGGGTGGCCTTGGTCTCTTTTCCTTCGCCACTCCTGCAATTCCTACTCCCGGGAGTTTAATCCTGTCCTCCCTCCTCAGCCCCCACCTTCTCAAACGTTAGTCCAAACCTGCCACGTTAAAGTGCGCGACTTCTCCGGGGCCTGCAGAAGGAGCTCCTGCAGCCCGGCATTCCTCGGATTCCAGCGCTGTGACGTCCCCCGGGACCGCACGCCTCCAGCTCCCGAGCTCGGATCCACGTTTCCGCGCTCCCCGCGCGCGCTCTCGGCCGCATTCCTCCCGCCCTCGGACGCGCGCCCGGAGCTCTCTCCGCCTCCCGGCCCCCAGTGCAGCCGAGCCGAGCCCGGGGGTGGGGGAACCGCGGCCGCCGGCGCCTGCTCCGTCCCCTCCCACTCGCACGGCCCCTTCCTCCCTCCTCTCCCGGCGGCTCGCGTTTCCTGCCGCTCCGGCTCTCCTGGCCCTTAAAAGTTCTTCCCAACTTTTCCTCCTCGAGTGGGTGCTGTAGGCGCAGGCAGGGGGCAGGCTGCTGTGCTCCTGCCTGCTCAGCTGCCTACCTCCGGGCTAAGGTCCTCGGGGAGCCGCAGACGCACAGTGACCGCTGGCGGTCCTTCTCCTACTACTTCAGCCATCCTCCCCGGCCTCCTGGTCTCGTCCTGCCTTGGGCGGGACAGCCCTGGGTTTCGGTGGCTCTTCTTTGCTCCTGCTCTCTGCGCCCCTGCGCCGACTCTTGCGCCCGATCACGGCGGAACCCTCCCTCCCCTTTCGCCTCCTCCGGCTGATTCCCTTCGCCCCTCCTCCGCCAGCCACTGGAATCAATTCCTTGGGGAATTGGAGCTCCGCCGCCGCGGCGGAGGGACAGCTTTTCCGCGCGGGACTGCAGGGCTCCAACTGGGCCATGTAAGCAGGTAAGCGCCGTCTGGGGCGGAGGAGTCGGGCCGTAGGTTGGGGATCGTCTGGGTGTCCCGGGCGCCCTGCGGATGACTTGGGCAAAGGCTGGCAGAGCCAACTTGGGATCGGCGGCGGCTCGGGACGCGGCCAGGGCTGCCGTGGCGCGAGGTGTCCGGGCCGCAGGAGTTTGCCGGGGCGGTGGGAGCCGCCCTCTGTGAGGCGCACAGCTGGTCTGGGGAGTTAGGTGGAAAGGTGAGAGCTGTCTGCATTGCTCGTGGGTCAACCCACACCTTCGCCCCTTCCTCCTCATTCCCTTCTGCTTTTTGGGCTTGAGAGAGGACCTCGGAAAGGCATCTGGGGATACCCTCATTTCCTGGGGCTGGGGACAGGAGGAGGAAAGACGAGGACCGTGCTGCCTCTCTAGCGGGATAGGAACGCGGCTCTCCACCCTCTTCTGTCCCGCAGAGGGACAAGATCTTGGGAGGGAGAGGAGTTTTTATGCCTCCCTACTAGGCCCCAGTCATGCCACGGAGCTCCTGGGCTTCTTGGCCCCTACTTGGGTGGTCAGGCTGGCTCAAAACTTGTGGCCACGCAATTTCAAAATAGGTCTCCACAGCAAACTTTCTATCTTGTATGTATGAACAACTTCTGAGTGTGGTGTTAGCACACTCCCTCCCCTTTCTTCCTGGCATGGCCCCTAAGTCTGGAGTTTGAATACTTGTCAGGGGGGTGCCCACCTTTTTGAAGGAGCAGAGAGGTACTCTGACACTATCTCCATTTCCCTTTCCCTTCTGTTCCTGTAACCCCCACCTACAATTGAAGGCCATTGTGTGATCTTCAGGAACTGGCTTGTGAGGAATCTCTGGACTGCAGGCTGCATATGTGGTTCCAGGGTTTCCACCAATGTGCTAATTCAAAGTGTGTTAATTCACTCATTCATTCAACAAACCTAGCATTAAACATCTCCCCTAGTCTAAGAACAAGGGATAAAAGATGCTATAACCAGATCTCACTGAAGCCTCGAGGAGAAAGGACACATTCTGGAGAATCCAATGGGGAATTGCAGTGCTGTGAGAAGTGCAATGGAGGGGGCGAAGTGTGCCCAACTCGCCTGCAGACACAGGTAGTGGAAAGAGCTTGTGCAGAGAGAGTCACCGAAAAACCACGTATCAAAAGAATGAACCTGTCTGGAGGCCGGAGTGGGATTCATGGGCAGTGTTGCAGGGAGAGCCTTTAAAGAAAAAAATGTATCTGAAATTACAGTGGAAGCATGTTACCCAGGACAGGAAGGAAGACTCTTCCAGAAGAGCACAGGCTCTCCTTGGGGGCACACCTGAGAGGTGATGCTGTTTGTACTGTGGTATGGACAGCAGTGGTGAGACCATCTCAGTGGTAGTTGGCACTAACTGGCCATTGCTGGGCTTCATTAGATGGTGCTGATCCCCTTGGCCAGAGCAGCCTGACTGCTATAAGTTATCGATAATAATGCCACATCACAGACTCCCGTATGAAAGTTACCTATCTTTTACTGATGGCATGAAAAGTTTGTGCCACAGCAACGATAACCTTGATGTCTGGAGCTCAACAACATGGTCCTCTTTCTCCCAATCTGAATGGATGACTCTACTGAGCAGGATGAGTTTTTGCACCTGCCTCTGTATTTGTGAGAATATGTGCTGCTTTGAAAAGTCACTATTGCTGCTGCACAGTTGTGAGGACTCCATTTCCTTGCTCTGAAACTTTATAAAAACGGAGTCTCTTCTGTCTGGTTGTTGTGTAGCCTGATGATCCAGGATTCAGCCCATCCTCCCGAGAAAAGCTCCTTCTGGTGCAGTAGCATTCTCTGCGTGGTTTGCCTTTCAAGGGTGCCTTTCCACTGAGCTGGAGTGGCGTTGCAGTGTTATTCATACTGGCTGAGTCCTGGCCCAGGTGGCAGAGGGCCAGCTTTCAGTGACCTCAGGCCAGGAGAAGGCAGTGGGAGGAGCACACTGACTTCCTACAGTCACAGGTGTTTATCCAAGCCCCTCCGCAAACACCTCCTCTTGTCTCAAGAATGGCCCCTTGGTGGGAGTTTGCCTGAAGGTCTAGGACCTGCATCAGTGCGATGGCTGGAGAAAAGCTTTCTTGCTAATGGCAGGTACCTTCTAGGCTTCTGTCATTGGCTTACACATGTTGTTACTAGAAACACTTCATTATTCAGGTTTGTGCATTCTGTGTTGCATGGCCAGCTGTAAGGGAAAGGACAGTAAGACTATTTTAATGTGGAAGAAATGGAAGAATTCAGAGAATAACCAGATTTTTTAGGAGAGTTCTTACTTGCCCTAAATGGATGGGCCAGGGGTCAAGAGCTATGACGATTTTTTCCCCAGGACTTTCCAGCCTTATTAAGCACTTACGTGTTTTTTTGTTTTTTTTTTGTTTTTGCTCATAAAATGGAAAGCAGACATAAGCCCTTTCACTGTACATTGTAGCCCACCTGCATTTTATATTTTCATCCTTTTTCACTTTCTATCCTGCATTTGAACTTCTTTGCGTAGTCACCAAGTGCTGTGTATCTTTTTTTATTTTTAAGTGAATTTTTAGAGAGGGGGTAAGGAGGGAGAAGGAGACCAAGAGGAACATCAATGTGTGGTTGCCTCTCCCACACCCCCTGCTGGGTACCTGGCCTGTAACTCAGGCATGTGCCCTGACTGGGAATCCAACCGGCGACCCTTTGGTTCACAGGCAGGCACTTAGTCCACTGAGCCATACCAGCCAGGGCCATTTTTTGGCCTCACATTAAGCCTTAGAACAGTGCTATGCACTTTGTAAGAGATAAGGCAGGGAAAAGAGGTACAATGAAATACTTAATCAGCCAATTATATTATTGCTGCTGGAGCCGATTAAAAAAGGAGCGGGGGGGGGGGAACAAACAAGTTTTGGTGAGAAGGAGGTTAAGGTTAATGTCTAAAGTAAGACTGTGGTTCCCCCTCATGACTCGATTGACCCTTCCCCTTTCTTGAGCCCCATGGAGGGTTTAGTGAGTGTCCCAAGGATGTGTGTGGCCAGTTTTGTGGCTTTCTTGGCTCTCCGTGTGCTGGAGCAGGGAGCCAGGGGTAGAAATTCAAAACAGAGCTGGGGTGGAATTCAGCTCTGCCATCTTCTAGCTGCACGTTGGATGGGCTTCGCCACCCTTCCGAATCTCAAATTCAGCCCCAATCTCTTTTCATCTACACGATGGGGCCTTTGGGTTCTGACTTGGCAGAATACTTGTGGAGGGTGCGGCGTCACACTCCACGTGCCCCTCCTAACACAGCGCCTCACCCCGAGTGGGTAGGTGTTGGGTCGAGGATGGCTATTTATATGTTCGAGGAGTCCTGTGTGGCCATGAATGTGATCTTTGTGTCATTTTTCCCCCAGCAGCCTGAATTCACATGTGTGCCAACATACACATAAAGCTTTGTCTTTGACCTTTTTTTTTTTTGCTATTGGCTCAGAGCAAACGTGTTGGCTGGCAGCTGCCATGTGGCCCCTCCTGTAGCGGGGGGGGTGACAGTTGCAAGACTTGGCAGTAGGGAAGCTTGAGGAAGCAGAGTCACTTAGATTAGGGCTGAGAAAAGGTTCCGTTCCCCTGTGTTCCTTTCCCTACTTACCATAGCAAAGGGCCCGGTATTTCTGATGTTGAAATCCAGTTCAAGAATGTTCGAATGAATCTGCCCGCCCTCGGCAAGAAGGCACAAGCTTCACCAGCGAGTGTCTTTGCAACCCGATTTCCCTCTTTGAAGCCCAAATGGGGAGTCAGCTTCAACACCTCTGCTGGAATGCCAGCCTCAGTCCGTGAGCTTTAAAGTTGCCTTTCATCTGAGAAGCCTAAACGACTCGACAAACATCAACTCCTTGATCTTCATATCATCCTCCCAAGGGGAGGGAATGTTAGAAGAAAGAACAAGTCAGAAAACATCCGTGGGGCAGGTGTGTGGTATGTGTTCCTGAAGCAGAGTGGATCGTCATGGCCCAGAACGGGTTTACCCTGCATGTAGTTTGCACGCAGGCCAGGAGGCCAGTGAAAGAAAGCCTCGGGAAGTGCAGATCTGGCTCAGAGCTTCGCAATGGGAAGGGGGAGGAAACCCACGTCGCCTGGCCCGGCCATGCCTCTCCCATACACTGCATGCATGCTGATTATGAAAATAAATAATCTCCAACTTATTTATAATTCTGAATGAGAGGATATGATGCAATACTTGGGGATAAGAATTACAGTCGCTGAAGATAAAAGCTAATGGCGACTAGAGGTACCTTTTTGCAGCACATGAGGGTGGTTGTGCGTCTGAGTTGGATTATAAATGGCGCATTAACATTGTTTTAATTTCCTTTCCCTTTTTTCTGTTGGCTCTATACTCCTTGGCTTGGTTTTGTCTTGCTCTCCCTTCATGCTTCTGTTTGACGTGCTTCACGGTCCTTGCTATCAGAAAAAATATATTGTGGCCATGCTTAGATCGATCTTGTGTATCAGGTTTGATACGTGGCAGATTTAGCTTGGTTCCCTCCGGGACAAAATTAGACTTATAATTAGCTTGACCCACAGGTCTAGTGCATATCCTGTAACTCTAGGTGGCCACCCCATAAACGCTTGATGTTGGTCAGCAGGGAGGGAGGGGATGGGAGAAAATGAGAGGGGGGTCGACTGGTGCCCAGAGGCAGGGCATCCTCCTCACACTTGGGATGTTGGAGACTTTTAGTATTGAACTAACTACATCCCCAAAGTAGGAAGCTTTCCTGGGTACCACTCACTGACTTCGTCTGGTTTGCCTCCCGAGTTTTTAGCTCTCAGGGAAGAATCACTCATTGTTAAAATTTACCCAAAGTTCCTAATGTTTACTTTTGCATAAGACGTAGCTTTCACTAAACTGTTTACTTAATTTCCTAAAGCCTTTGGAAATCCATCTTCTGGGAGTTCTTCTTTTTTTTTTTTTTCACACCCATGCCCCTCAAGGAATTGGGGCATTAGCTACGCACAGGCCGCTGATCTAACAGGCAC